CCACGATGTCGCATCAGGCAACTTGTTCATATGAAACACGAGTGTGAGTGAAAATAGTACAATGTAAACGAGTGTCAGACGTAGAAGAAATGAACGATAACGACGGCAAGGAAATAAGACCATTTAAGCAGGCCATCTGATCTGAAACAGAAACACCATAAACTCATCATTGTTGATAAACAGACGAGCGTGCCATATAAAGAGAAAACAAACCTGTGTTCATCGTTCTATATAGCGATCAGAACAGAACCGAATGCCAAGTGATTTAACCAAGATAATTATAATTTCTGTCATTGATCACCACACGAACAACAAATTTCTATTCACAAATTCGAGAAATGAATTTTGTCAGCTCACGAGAATCTGTGCAGACACCGTTAAGCGTCCATTTTCTTGCTGTAAGCTAAAAACGTTACTTCTTAGTATTTATCTCAGAAATGTTGTCTTATCATTTGCTTAGATTTTATGATCGTGATTTTTCACGCAGTTTACTCCATTAATTTCATGGAGTGGTTCTTTTACAGATCGACCACCTCCCTAGTGGTAAAAGTGAGCGGCGGTGAGGGTGAGTAATGATAGTGGTAGGGAGGTGGTCGATCTGTAGAAGTACCATCTATTCTATTCTATTCTGTATATAAAAATATAGGACATTTTCTAGAAATTTTCAAAAATTATACATCTTGAAAGTAAAAGTAGCCCAAAAGACTAAACAGGTGTAATAATTTATCTGTTCAAACAATGATGTCCAATCTCGAGTGCATTCTATCAGTAGTTTTATCTTTTAGAGAGCGCAAATCATGCTACACCATTTTAGTTCCACTTTTCTACGTTTTTATTAAAAAAACCGTGTAAAGACAACCATAAACATTTCTAAAATTTTTACAAAAAATAATCGAGAAATAAGAGAAACGATAGATCGCAGGCATACACACCACAATAAAAAAAAATCATTTTTGGAATGAACCAGAGAGAAAGATGCAATTTAAGGGAGAAATAAATAAAACAAAGAAAGACAGTAGAAATTAAGTCACCAGAAATTAATATTCACGCCGAGTTATCTTCACATGCATTTACCTATTGCACACATTGAGAATTAAAAAAAAGACAGGAGTCTGCTTTGACTTTGTTCGTATCTACAAGAAAAAAAAGGTAAAAAGAAACAAAAACATCTTTCTCACCGTGTTCAATAAATAATAATAATCATAAATGCGGGAAGAAACATGTGTGACTAACTAGAAAAACGTAATTTTTTGACAAACAAAATGAATTTAAAAAAAAGAAGAAAAAACCCTATCAGTTGTCATTTTCCAAAAAGAAAACACAGAAAGACATTTATCCAATTTCATTCATGTTGTGCTTGATTAGATGAGGATAAAACTGTATATTAAAGCTTGCTAATTATATTGAGCTATTCTATAGTCCGACAGTATGCATCGCATCAATTATTTTACCAATAATATACTAAAATAAGAAACAAATGATGTAAGAACGTAGTACAGTTATACACGTACCAACTTGACTTGAAGCATCAGAAACGATTACAAATCATAGCAAAAAGCTATTATTCGATTATTACTATTTCGCTTGATATACTATCAACTCTTTTAACTTCACAAGTCATTTTTAATTTAGTTTGACTTTACAATCGCTTATCAGCTACTAGAGATTTAAAACAGAATTCATTTCTGAAAGAATCAAAAGAAATACTTAATGGAGAGAAGCAGAACATGTGCAGTGACCAGTGATATTGTGCTTCCTTCTCGTCGTGTGAAAGTTATTGTTCTTTTTTCGATAAGAACAAATAATAGTAACACCCTCATACGCTGTGGACGGAGTTGTATTGCTTGGCATGCCATAACTCTGTCTTTCTCAAAGGAAACCACCTGAAGAGACCCTTGAGAAAGGTCGAAACCGATCGTAGTATTTTCTTTTAATTCTTTCAGAAATGAATTCTGTTTTTGAGTCTCTAGTAACTGATAAGCGGTTATAAAATTAAATTAAATTAAAATTGTATCAAGTCGAGTTATACATTTCATATAGATTCACAAGTCATGGTTATACGCTACAGTCATCCTTTGTGAACACATACTGCTTTGATCTGAAACCTATCGAGGTGAAAAGTGATGTGGAATACATACCTTGGCCTCAATAATTGATCGATATTTTATCATTTTTCCATATGATTTATGCGATTTAAGTGTCCCGGTCTTCTTGGCTTCCTATAGAAAAAAAATAGTCAGTTACAAAATAGATTCTAGAAGCACGAACAGAAAAGAACTAACTTTTGTTAATATTTGTATTTGTTGGATATTTGGTTTTATAACCGGTTCTTCTTTTAAGTCACCATACTCTAGTTGCCAGTCAACTTCATATTGACCCAAAAACGATATTTCAGTTATAAATACAATACGTCTACAAAATAAAAACGTTCGAAATGAGTGTTAGTATCTATTGAACAATACTTAAAGACATACTTTGATGTAGCCATTAACCAACATGGTGGTGATTCACCGCAGTTGATATGTGCAACATATGTATCAGTTTTATATTGACCTTCTTCAAGTCTCTGAAAAATAAGAAAGTGACTGACTAGATATCAACGTTTAAAATAAATAAACTGTATTGTTGATAAATATTAGACGACATAGCAACTTATAGCTGAAATAAGACGATATAATTCTGAACGCTCAGCTACCAAAAAATTAAACAGATCCTATCTATGCACATAGTTTCACATAATAAAACAGTTTAAATATGCATAATTGCCGTTACAATCTAGATTGTATTATGCATAGAATGGGTACCATTTTTGTAACTGGAAGTCACGGGCTATACATAGGATGGTTTCCCTATGCATAGCAAAACTTCTATACATAACCACGCATAGGACTCTTTTATGCATAGGGTCCTGTGAATTATACATAATACAATTGAATTATACAATTGAATTAAGGATGATCAGTAACCCCACTTTTGTATAAGAAATAGTTGAAAATTTAGTTACGTTTAGAATATAAAATCCCATAGCTTCATGTGCAATGTAAGGTCGAACCAATCCATCTTTGCCAATATGTCTTGGATAACGTACACGACGTATAAGTTCTTCGTTTGTCGCCGCACTGTAAAATAAAAACATAAAATATATCTTGAAATAGTAAACAGTATTTCATACACTTATCGTACGTACCGTTTAACCATGTCTAATGATGTGCTAGCAAAATCGACAATACCACCTGTTGGTCGTGCAACAAGACCAATAAAACCTTTTCCAAGACCTTTTACAAACCCTCCAGCTCCACCATGTTTGGCACCTTCTATCGGCTTCCTAATAACTCCAGTCACACCATCAACAAAGCCCTTGTAATTGACAAACATTCAAAATTGAAAAACGAACCTATCAAAAACTTGAATTTAACTTACCATGACGACATTTCTTCCACCAACAGCGATATCTTGTGCATTGTTTGTAGGCTCTTTTCGTCGAATACGATTTTGTTTATATTCTTCATCAAATGTCAATGTTGCTAAACCTTTGCCTAATACACCGGTTATTTTTGAAACGGCACCTGCAGCACCACCAAAAGCTGAGCCAAATAATGTACGCACACCGGTCACAACACCTTCAGCAAATTCAAGTGGACCTTCGACAGCACCCTAAAAGCAAGTAAAAAATCAATTTGAAAAATAATATTATTTTAAAGTTATTATATGGATCAAACCGATGTTATTCAATGACAATATATCATCGTACTAACCTTATATGGTTCGTAGAATAATGATTCAACACCTTCAGCAATACCTCGAATAACTCCAAACGGATTTCCTAATACATCGAGTCCCAAAACGAGAACATGTAGTTGTTTCATAAATTGATTTTGATAATGTCTGGTCACTTCTGAATTTAATCTTGAAAATGTTTGTCTCTCATGTGTACGTTCATAATAGCCTAATCTAAAAGAATGATGAAAAGAAAAAGTGAAATTAAGGGTATATATACATATTCATTTTCTTTTACGAACTTTAATATGACATCTTGTACTTCAGCTACATTCAATGTCTTTAATAAAAATCCTACTAATGGATATTCGGCTAATAATTCTTCACTAGGATCAGCACCATGCATTGAAAAACTAACATGAATCTATTAAATATAAAGAGAAAAAAAATAACATTTACACAACGATATTAGAAGATAAAAAACAACATCCATACTTTCAATGGTGATAAATGAATTTGATCAAAGTACATTTCAGTTTCACCAGATGGACTATCTGTTTGTTCTTTAATTATGGCACGCAATGATTTATTTATCAATTCTAAATCTGTATCCATATTAATAACGGGAGCTGTGATAGGCTATAAAATAAAAATTGAAATTATTATTGATCATTTAAACAAGAAAAATATGGTTACCTTTTCAGCTTTTATAAACGATAAAATAGCTACAATAAGACCTTGATCGATACGAACAGAAAATTCTTGTATGAGTAATTTAAAGTATCTAAAACAAGAAATAATAGCAACATGTTATAAAAGATAAAAAAAACAATCAAAATAATCACTTACTTAAATTGCATAATATTCGAACGTGCATTTTTCGTTTCAAATATACTCAATTCAATAAATGGTTTTTCAGCTAGAAAAAAATGAATGATAAATTTGAATATTCATAAAATAAATATTATTATACACATACCTGTATCAGTAGCAGTTATCTTTGACGTGATAGGATATAAAATAACAGGAAATATTGTATAATCTAATTGATTATCAATCTAAAGAATATATTTTACTACAGATCTATCCAAGTACAAATTGAAATTGTAATATTTCTGAGTATTTGTTTCATACTGAAAATATTTTAGTCTTATTTCAAATATTACGTACTTGTACGCGATTAATTCGAACATGTAACGCGGAATTTGTTGCTGACCACGCATATTCAATCCACAATCCATCTAATGCTTGACGTCTAATTTTTTTCGTACGACCACGTTGATTCATTAAATCAGCGGTGCTATCATTATGAAACACCACAGTCTACACATAAGAATTATTCATACTATTCAACCGTAACCAGAAATTTTCTAAAAACTAGGCCTAATGTATGTGCATCATGGTGGACGCTATGCGAAAAAAGCAAAAATGCACTTTTCCCAGATTTAAATAGAGTTAAATATATGTCACTATAGGGACTATTTAAAGGTCATAAAAACTTTTGTTCCTAAGAAATCGGATAAAACCCATAGTCAAAAACTAACCTTACAACACATAGACGAGACGTAAAACTATTGAAATTTAATAGTCTTCAGTTTAAAAATGACATGGATTCTCAATCTAGGCTTCTTCCAGGTATCAATTAGTGAAGGATCTTTTCTTTTGGATCTAAGTATACGAAAAACTAACGACGTTTCCAAAATATGTCTTCAATGGAGTAAGTTTTCAAACTTTCTCAACGCATTAATCTCGCTCAAACTTTGCACAAATATTCTTCTATCTATATTGCATGATATTAGCACTTAATAGTGTCATAGTTCCTGATCCTCGCTATAGGTTTTACAAAACCTTCTGGTTTTTCAAGTAAAATATGTTTCTTTCAGTCCATGAACACTTTTAAGAAACGATAAGGTCATATTCAGAATCAGTGCGTAAAACTGCATCAATAGATAGATATGTTTTCCCAGTCCAAAAATTTTACATGAAGGGTATCTCATTCAAAAACCAAAAGTTTTTAGAATAAGACTTTTTCTTGCGACAGCACTGTTTTTAGATATAGAGATTTATTCTAACCCAAAAACATCTACTTCCGATAATAAAAAAAGTTAATGGCTGTCTGCCTCATAGAAAATACTCTCTGTGCTACACTGGCTAGTCAAAAAAAAATTATTGCTTTACAAAGGTTTTTTGCTCCTGGAGTCTCTTCCAGACAATTTATCACTCAAAATGTAGCCATCAGCTCTTCTTGTCCACCGTCTGACTACGATTCGGCTATAGATTGATAAATAAAATAAAAATCTTACTTTATTCTCATTTACTGCGTATCTCTGCTTTCTCAAATCTAAATCTTCTGGATTCATTTCTTTTTTCTCCACATGTGATCTGTATATGTCTTCTAATACGTCATTCAAATCAGAACTAAATGGTTTCCAACGATTCTTTTTATGTTCAGTCCATACAACTTTTGATTTATTCATGCTAATATAGAGTAATTCTTCACGTTTGATATCATCGACAATTGATATGCCAATATCATGAATACCGAGTTGAACACGTTGACCCATAGATTCAGCTAACGACGGTACCTAAAAAACATCATGGACACGATCAATTCAGACGTACAGAATCTATCCCGTAGGCACAAGCGGCGATCATAGAAAAAAAAATAATAATTTAGGATGAAATTTTCGAAATTATTTTATACAACAAAAAATTAGAAGAATCACCAGATAGCTCTCACGAAATGCTCAGTAACACAAAATGATACACCATCACCAAGAGAAATGAGAAAACAACCGTAACCACTTCACTTTTTTTTTCGGACAAGTTTCGGCACATTCTTCACCTCTAACGGTCATAGAACGACACAAAATCATTTAAATTATCTCTTACGCCAGATGCTTTTTGAATAATATCAATGTTATCGCCAAATAATAGCACAGTTTGAAGACCATCAATAAATGAAGTATAGCTTATTTCATGATGTTCTCCAATAAAACCACATTGAGGCTAAAAATATTATGTTGATCGTGATCAATCAAACAAATTGTGCATCCAATTCAAACAAATTGTGTACAAATAGAAATTATACCAATTAACTATGTAATCACTTACATTTAGATCTAAAACTGTCGTATTTCCTTTTACCAATGAGACAAGTTCTCTTGGTTTCATGGGATCACTCCATGTATAATAAACATAATTTTGTGGCGGAAGTATTTGACTCTTCCTAAAAGATAGAAAAAAAAAATGAATAATAATAAAAACTTCTATTTCTTATCTAATTTTTATTTCTTACACTTCATCTTTTTGACAAAATGTAATTTCATCATTTTTAAGACAATTGACAATGAGTACCGGTGCATCACCCATTTTATAATCCGTAAAGATCATTCGAATACCATCGAAATCCGTTGCTGTTACTTCAACACTAATTGCCGGATGCTCCTTTTAAAAAATGAACAATATATTTACTACGCTACTATTTTCACGATTTATAAATAAAACGAGTCTCACCTCATCGTCCATTCTCAGTAATGTTCGATGTTTTTGATTCATTTCAAATGGAGAACTAATAACATGATCTTTGTTTGTATAGCGAACACGCATTAAACCTTTGTCAAAATTATTAGGCCAAAATGGAATAACCTGAAGTTAAAATAGAAACATTTAATTAAGGAAATAGAATGTATAATATACTTACGTCACCCGGGTTTAATGGTCCCCACTTATCTTGTTCTTTATTATTTATAGTTTCAATAACTTCGAGATCAACCTAAATAAGAGATTAAGAACCAATAAGATATTCTTCTATTTTGCTACTAAATCGAATTACCGTTGAATTATTAATAATAACCATTGACGGTGATAATGTTATTATTTTTGTTGTACCAAATGAACTTGTAACAATTTCCACACATAACTATATTAATAAATAAATAAATTTGAGATTATCTTCAATTTTTAATTTTTTCTTATCTTCACGTACCATGTATATTTTATCATTGGGTATTTTACAAATCGCCATTCCAATACTTTTAATAACATCAAGAGAAAATTTTTCACACCAGTTTGTATTAGCATGATCACGATCAGGAGTTGTTAAACGAATTTGAGCCTAATATTAACAATAATGTCATGTGTTCATTAAAGAAAATGATTGTGTTTTACTTTTTTATTCGAATCAGCATTAGCATCAAATTTTTCTGGACATATTAAAAATGGTGTTTCATCGCTGAGAATATGTGTCTGTTGAGTTTCAATCTAAAAGATGAACATAAATTTTAATAAAGAATAGATAAAAATATTGTCAATGAAAAAAAATTTCAGTTTATAAAAATTAATACTACTTACTTGAAATTCAAGATTAAACGATGTTCGATTTAATACCCAATATGGTGAATATAATAAAATTCGATAAGATTCATGAAATGTTTCAATACGTAGTGCTATATACTTAAAAGAAAGAACATTTTATTTTATTTTAATTGTTGTTCGGAATGGCTAATGTGATTCCCAGGTGTGTCAATACGAAGCCAGTTTCCTTGCACTTGACACACAGAAAGATTTGTTTATGAATGATGATTATTACTGATGGACTGTAGATAAAATGTTTAGAATTCTCAAACGCTTCATTTTCACTTTACAAAAATTCACTCAAAAGCATGCCCTTCAAAATGAAAGGGAAAAATTCTCTGTCAAATGTTTCTTTTCAGAGCTGTAGTAATTTAAACGGAGATCTTCAAACTAGAATTATTCACTGGAATCTTCAAACTAGAATCATATTTTAAATATTCCTGTTTATGTACAGCCGGAAAGCTTCCATAGCATATGCCGACAAGAGCGGCAAGGATGAGCACAAGACGATAGAATGAGCGTAATATTTCTTTCGAATGACGATATTTATTTGTGATGAGAGGTTGATCAAGCAGATAGTATGAGAATCGAAGAAGTATCAGTTCATAAAAGAGTCAGTGAATCTATTAAGTGTGTTCTCTGCTAACATGCAAAGGATGATCATCAAAATTACTGCAAAATATGAATATATACTTTATTTTATCTAGTCAGTTTGATTCTGTACTTCACAACAGTATCACGCATGAGAGTATTAATAGATCTCATCTTCTCTTCTTCTATGATAAAGAATAAAACTTACTAAACTGTCGCCAGATTGATCATGAAATTTGAGTACATATTCAGCTTTTTGATCTTCTTGTAAATTAATTGGGTCACTAACCCATTTTAGTTTAATATAATTCAAAATCTTAAATTGAAAAAATAAAATAATAAATCATTTCGAGTTTATATATGTATAACACTTACAGTAAATATGAGAATAGAATTTTTATCTCCAGAAGTAACCATCTGTAGTTGACTAGGTTTCATATCAATTGTCTCACCATTCTAAAATAAATAATATGATGAGGCCGAGTGTCCTCTAATTTTTTTTCTTAAAACAATAAGTAAAGCGAAGCTCGTGAAAATGTGATCGTTTTTCGTCGATATAAAACTTTATGTCTCATCTTATAACAGACTGATCACATAATTCGCACAATTCTGTAGTTATACAAGATCTATGATTAACAGGCTATGACAAGATATTGAAGCAAAATCACATAACTAAACAAGCAGTCAATATCTACAATAACAATAATCAAACTAACAGGCGAAATTTGTCCAAAAATAGGATATTCGTTTGGGACCTATAAGATCGACAGATATCCAAGTGAAAGACTAGGTATTATGAGACTAGGTTATGAATCATTTTCAACCAATCATTTACAATGAAAAAAAACTGTCACACAAAGTTTCGTTTAACTTACATTGATTGTACATTGAGCATCGACTGGTAATAAATTTGTAAAATGTAACGCTGGTTGAATATAAAGACTAAATGCATTTTTGTCATTCTGATCAGTATTTTCGGCATAAGCTTTATGAACTTCTTTGAATATCTTAAAGGAAAATGAAATAACGTTTGAGAAAATCAGTTTGATAACAAAACAACAAATACATACAACAAAATGTGCTTCAGAACCATTTTTTAATTTTAGTTTTCGATTAGCAGAAAATTCGGTTACCCAATCAAATGAGAAAAAATCATTTATAGGTTGATCATCATCGTCTCCTCTACAAAAAATAAACACAAGGTAATAATCCAAAGAGAAACGAATGGATTACATTGACTACGATGAATAAAGACATATTTCATATAAAGTATTGTAAACATTTGACATTATGTAATTCGAGAGGATGAAACGACATATATTTGCAGTTAAATTAGAAATTAGAAGTGCAAATACTTCTAACGAAATTTAGATAAAAGTTTGGTGAGAATAATCAACCAATTGAACCAACTTACTCGTCAATAGCAAGAAAGACTGGTGAGTGACTATTAACATATAATAGCCATATTGGTACATAATATTCTTCATTGACAGCTATTTTAGCAACACGTTTTGCATTTTTAATATCACCATCTCCAGCATGAAGAACGACTAATGGTAGAGGTGTACTGTTGTAAATCTTGAAGGAATAAATAAAAAATACTTAATTTGCATATGAAAAGTTCCATACTTACTTTAAGAATTGAACTAAGGATAATTTTTCGTCTATCATTGTTCAATTGTGGATCACATAACATTTGTACGGGCCATTGTACATTTGATGTCGGACCAATATCATAGACCCGTTGCCATGTACGCGCTAAGCTAACGGTTTTTATTTCATTATCAATCTAAAATGTATCCAGTCTTTTATTCATTGTTCACATTTTTTATGTTGTTCATCTTACCTTAACCGATAATTCTTGTCTACGATGATAATCTTGTTCTTCAATAACCGATAAACGTGTCGAGGCTGTACGATCATTTCCTGTCGTTGGTACCGTTAATGCGATAGAATCCTTATCTTTTAGTATACAAGAAGTGTTACGATCGACAAACTAAAAAAAAACATTTTCAAAGCTCATGATGGATCAGCGATGGACAGCCTACTCCGTTGCGCTCCGTCATTTTTAAAATCATTCTTCGTCCCGTCTTCGTGAAAAAAAACTTTTTTGCTTAGTCATTTTTCAATATCGTTTCGTGTAGTAGTGTTCGTCGTCTGGAATACCGATATTCTTAAACGTTCTTTCTCACAAAATATCATGTCTTATTTCGAAACAGTTAGAGGAATATACACAAAAATTAATGGAAAATTTCATGTTTATTTTTCTACAGAACGAGTGACGATAATCTTGTATACTGTTAGATGATTTTAGATTAGATCATTGATGAGTGATGATTACGCCTGCAGCCAAAACACGTTTCTGCTCCGCGAAGACTTCACTTCGCCAGTTTTTAGGTTGTACGAGACTCGTTCACCGAACAAAAAAACTTTTTGAGACTGCGGATTGTCTATCCCTCATGCGTCTTTGTAAAAGATTCCAGCTTTTTAAGTACACTCTTATATTTGGTGAAGCGACAAAGCTAAAGTGTTCACAACATCTGTAGTTAACTATTGTGGAATCGTACACGAAACAGGAACTATACCTCAATTCCATCTAAATTGTATAAAACTAATTCTTTTCCAGTAGCATTCTGCATGGATAATAATGGTTTTTCTTCATCTTCCCCTGGCGGTAAACGTCTGTTATAAACATCGTTAAATAAAGCTGATAGACGTTGTGCTAGATCCAAACCAGTCTTTGTGATTGTTAAATTTAATAATTGATCAGCACGAATGAATATAATTTGTTTGGTACTGGCTAGTGGTGCATGATTGCTTTCTGACTTTTTTTCACCTTCCTGTTCCCCTGCTGTTGAGTCATTTTGGTCATTTACAACCTATATATAATGAAAAGTAAAAAGATATCACATCATGTATCATACAGCCTTTTGTAACCATAGCTAGAAGCTTTAAGTCTATAGCGCATACTACAAGTACAGATAATTACCCTGTTTTAAAAAGATAAAAGAGGATGATATTTAAGGCAAAGCAAAGAGAAATGGAAGCAAAACGGGAAAATGCTGGTGCTTTCAAATACTGATTCCATTTAACAAAGAGTTTTCAGCAAAAAAAATGGTTGACATCCATAAATTCTAAGAAATGTTAAATTCTTTCTCTACATCCACGCCTGGTTAGGCTAAATATAGCGGAAAAGTACTAAAATAATTTTTAAAAACATGAACTATGCCCACCAATTATTGTTAGTAAGTTAATGAACACTGGTGCATATGTACTAGGCAGATACCTTTAATGATTTGTTTTGATTGTTTACCTCGTAACTATCCTCGATGTCATCCTCCTCAGTCTATAGACCAAAATATTATTCCAAGAATTGTCTAACGGAATTAAGTGTTCTACTGCTGACATACCGGTACAATTGAACATGCAATACTCCATGGTTTCATTGTACTACTTTTTGTTTCAAGACAAGGTTCAATTAACGGCTCCCAAGTTAGCATACGTTCGTTGAACAAAGCCATTTCAACAGAAACAGTTGACGATAATAACATCTCAAATAAAATAAATATATTAGACTATTTTGCTTGATCCTGTAAAAAATATATATGGTTGACTTACTGCACTTGACCAATTTTTAACATCTGCTGTTATATTGGATAAAGTCATGGCTAGTACAGTTTTTGTTGATGATCCAAAACCTACTTCAAGTTTAACTGCAATTGAATCACAAACGAATAGAAGCTAGAATAAAAGTACAGATATCCGATGATATTTTTCCATGAGAACACAGTCACAAAACTAACTTGTTGAAGCATCACTTTTGGTTGTGTTGCCAATTCTTCTTCTTTTACTTTCATTTTTTTCTCTGCTTCAACAGCATCTTTTTGTTCAGATGGAATACCTGTAACCGCTTCAAGTACATCAGTCGTGTCGTGACCTAAAAATTTGAAAATATAGTATAAAAAAAAAGAACATATGTGTAACACATTTTTTAACGCATACCATCGACAAACCAAAAACCTGCATCTTTAAATGGTTTTGGATCAAACAGTGATTTTGTAGTCACTTTTTCCAATTCTTTTGTAGTAGATGCCTAAACGATTACAAACTGAACATTTAATAATTATAAAAGTTGATATTTCTTCAATCATTAAGTATTAATTATATCTCTGACATATCAAGAAAAATTACTAAATTAGCTTTATTACACATGATTCAACTATTGTTCGGCCGGTTCACGCGTGACGGAATAACATTTTTTCATTTTATTTTCTTAATATCTCTGCCATCTTAAGTCCGGAAAGGCTGAAGTTTTTGCAGAATGTGTGAGACTAGGTGCTCTCCAAATCCTAAAAGTTTTATCAACTTCAATCATTTGATCTGGAAGCTACAGTCAAAAATATAGGCCGTGACGGAATAACATAAAATGGACTTTGACTTTTACAGAAGACTAAAGAAAGCAAAAAAATCAGCGGAACCAAAAGAGCTATGAAAAAACTTTCTGTAGGAAAGTTGTAGCTCAGTCAATAGGCTATACGTGGAAAAAGGAAAACAATTAAAAAATTTCAAAAATTCGCCTTTGTAGATCGAAAAAACCGTCGTAAAGGAATAACGTTTTAAGAAATGAGGAAGTTTTTCTCAGTTTTTCTTTGCTTCACAAGTTGAAAGTAGTGTGTCAAATCACATAAACTGTTCTTTTTAAAGAGAAAAACAATGAAAAAAGTCATCTAGGCTTTTTAACAACATAACGAATTTCTTTTGCAACAAAAATTTTAAAAGTCTCTAAAATCTAAACACATATTTCTGTTCTCTCGTTAAATACTGAGCAATTTCAATCACATTTCTATGTAAGACATTAATATGATGTTGCATCTGAATTCTTGGTAACGCAGCTGATTTTAACAAATGTTTTTTTAAGTGTCATTCTAGTTATATCGAATTGTACTTGTCTAACAAGTTCAGTGCTAATTATTTTTGATTTTTTTTACAAATTTCAACGAAATCCTGAGCACATGCACATTGTTTTCCAGCCAAAATTTCCATCCATACAAGTCGTTTTAAGGTACCACCGATTCTATCGACGACACCTTGTCCGTGTGACGAAGCGAAGTAGTTCCAGCTTAAATCTAAAGTTAGTTTTGTTCATCATATTTGTTAAATGTTGAAGAAGATAACGATTTTTAAACTGACTAGCAGCACCATCAGAAAAAAAAATGATTTCACCAACATCCGGCATTTTATCAATTATTTCATCAATTAAGAGTTCTAAACAGGTAATTACTGTGTATTTATCATGTGCCATTGAATTTGAGACCAGGCCAAGAGAATAATCGCAGGCGAGTTATTGTAGCATTTCTCGGCATCTTTATGGTGTTTTTTCTTCAATAAGCTCCTCAGATGTAATTAGAAGGTCCATTCAAATACTTGTGTTCATCAAAGCATCCATTCATAATAATAACGTGCAAGAAAAATGATTTTGTTTTCTTGCTGGGAAAAACTTGATCATTCGGCGTTATCCCGTCACGCTTATTTAAACTATATCTCAGCGCTTTTTTTAAAGGTGAATAAGCACGTTGGATAGAGCGCAAAAAACTGCTTTTACAGCAATAATTTGTTAAATCAGAAGATGCTTATTGTCTACGTTTTCGTGAACGGAATAATATTCAACGGAGTATTACCTTTACAAATGCAAATAACTTTCTTAATCTGAGATAAAAATTGGTTGTCTTTACACGGTTAAACATCTTATTCAGCGCCGTTCCAAAAATGACGACAAGAGTATAAAAAGCACATTTTGTTTAGGCAACAAATTAGACATCAAAATTTGATAACGAATTTACACTTCTGCCGGTTCTGAGTGACATCTCTATAGAAGTAGTTTTTTTGGAAAATCTATTGCACTAAAGTAAGAAAAAAATAGGTTTTTATATACTATCGACAACTCTGCGATATGGTCATCTTGATTCTACTTGATTTTTTGGTCACACTTCGCCAAAAAAATCTACCGTTACGTGGACTTGCCGTGCTATTTTTTGGAGAGATCTGACTATACTGTTTGCGTTTTTGTTTTCATTACCTCTAATGTTCCTATTGAATTCATGACGCCAATAACTGTTTTGACAGCAGCTGGTGCAATACTAATAATAATATCGGATACACGAAGATCAATTTTTTGTTGATTACTATCAGTTATCATAATTACATCGACCTTAGCTGGTTGCAAAATCTAAACAACGACAACTATCAAGATGAAATAAAAGCATTTCTTTCTTTATCAATATATACCCTATATTTCACTTTTGATGAGTCATCGCTTCTACTTTTTAATTCCGCAAAATTTGAACTATACATAGTTAAATCTTTTAGCCAAACATACATTTTTGTATCATCACCGGCACTAATCATTTTCATTTGAGCACCCATCTGAAAAGTAAATAAAGAATATGTTATGAACGAAAAGGTATACATTTTTATTTATATTAAACATATAGACTAGCCTACACTTACATCAAGTACAAGACAATTTGAATTTGCATTATGTTGATCTTCAAGTAGAATAACTTCTGGATTCTTAACCAAAATATCGACTTTTGTTTGAACATCAAATTCAACGCCAGGTGGACGAGGTGCAGTAGCTGAAAACAAGTTCATATCAGTCATTTTTCCATCTTCTGGAAGTGTTGTAGTGACATGTAGTACATACGTTTTTCTTTCTTTGGTGGTTTTGGAACTGGTGATTGTGATGAGTCGTCCGCCTTACGTCGATCGATTTGTGATGGTGAACTTGATGCATTCGGAGATTCAGTCGTTGTATCTCTCGAAGCTTCATCATCCTCTTCCGTCACTTGTGGACTTTTATTATCGGTGCCACTTGATAAACCAGACATGAAAAAATCTTGTAGTGTCATCAGATAATCAAGACTAATACATATGTAAAGACTTTCTAGTTGAGCATTTACTAAAATAAATTTGAATAATAATTTTTCATAAAAAATAGGAAATAAATTATCATTTACATTGTCTCAATGCGATATCTCGTTGTTGATCTTTTGGTTTGAATTCAAAGACAGCAACTAACATATGAGCAGATGGATCTACGGAAAAATGTCTGTCCATCATTCTAAAATGAAAAAAAAATGAAAATAATATTAATGTAACGATTAGTTATTTTCTTACCTCGTCACGCCAACACTCTTATGTGTATCACGTAAATCGTCAAGCAAAAAATTTTTAACTCGTCCCATTGCTTTATAACTTGAATCATTCATTTGTTTAAATATTGCTTCAAGCATCTCGATTCGAACATCAGCTAATTTTAAATTTTCCAGACGTTCTTCACGACGTTGTGTCTAAAGTAGAACAGTATTTTTAAGAGAGAGAAATATTTATTGTAAACACTAAATACCAAATTTGATTCACCCAAATAGAGTGTTAATGCAAGTGTTTTTATTTCAGCACGAATTTTCATTGTTGGTGTTACTTCTGTAATTGTTTCTGAAACTTCTATAAAAAGAGGACATAATTAGATTCTGTTAGAGAGTAATAATTCTAAAAATGCATGCTTTTCAAAACATGCAAAATCTGAAGACAAAATATTCGATTTGTGACTGGCAACAAATGCATGCTGCACTATAAAATTTCACTCAGGTGTTGATTCATCATACAGCAGTATGAAAAAGAGGGTGTGTTTAGTATACCGTTAGTATTAGTGGCATCACGTTTTGGACGTTCTATGAAGTAGAAATACATGAGTAGAAAAGACTCATTTCTTTTTACTAGTATCATATTTAACAAAAATATATTTATTGTACGCCTCTTACCATGTTGTTTTTGAATAACTGTATCACGTAATTTATTTTCTTCTTCTTCTTGCTCAGATGATTTATAATGATAGTGTTCCACTGTTTTATCATCGTTAGATGTGGATGCCATTTGATCGCTGACATTTTCAGAAAAATTTTCCAACAATACTTTCATTACGCATGCAAAATCACCTTTTGATAATTTAAACTAGAAAATCGAATAGAATTTATAAACTTTACCAAAGAGTACGATAAAGATGACTAATTTGTTCAAAAGTTGCTCAATCGATACTGGAGTTTTTCGCTCAAACTTTCATAGTATGTGACGACAACATATTTAAAAAGATTCTTAGAATACTTACTCGGAGATTATTTACTTCAGAAGGTTATATGATTTTCCGTAAAAGTCTTAAAAATATATTCCTAAAAAATCTTCACTGTAAAAAAAGTGCAATTTCTTTTATAAATAACTCGATCTAGGAAGTAGATCAAGAGCTCGCTCATACTTACAACATAAGAAGCCTATAGCTTTCAAACTTATAACTTCAATCTAAAAATGTTGGTTCACCGAAGTTTCAAGTCGAAGTGATAATAGAGAATATTAAAAATTAAAAATAGATTAAATTTTCATATTTCAGTGTATTTGTTTTAAGATCGTCGATAACTTTAGTTTTTGAAGATGACTTATTTAGAAATAGCATGCAATTCTAGTGAATCAACTTTTAGACACAAATTACTTATCCTATGAATATGAGTTCTTGATCTATTTTCTAGATCGAGATATTAACCAGACAAATTGCACTTTTTGTACAATTATTGTTTAAGCATAGAAGAAAACCGGATCAGTATTGTCTGACATTGGGGAAGATGGTGGTAATAGCTATATAATTGAGCGCATATATTCTTCACTATAGTTAAGCACTGATATGTTTCACTTGAATATGAAAACTTATACATACATGAACAAACTCCCATGCTGCTTTCATGCTCACTGCCGGTTCACTTTTTGCTTGTTCTGGATGTAATGAACGGTCAATTGTTGTTGTCAATGCTTCACAATCCAACAATACAGCTTCTCCAGCAATATCATGTTTTTCATTTAGTACAACGCGTGATGCAAGAACGTTTTCAATTATAATATTTTGTTGTTCAACCAAACCACGTTTTTCATGTTGTATAAATTTTGTACGCAATGATAATTTACCTAAATCTAATAGTAATGCTTCACTTGAATAAGAATTTGTTGGTATAAATATATTAGGTGCATTAAATTCAACATCCAAATGTAATTTAAATGCTTGTTCTTGTAATTTTTGAATACTTTCTATAGTAGTTTCAGCATATTGTGATGATCCCAATTCCAGAGCACCTTTTGAGACATTTAATGCCTCCAAAAATGACTATAAAAAAAAGAAAAAAATTATATATCTAAGATCAAAAAGAAAAGACAGCCATTTTACAGTCTCCCCTTCCATACGAATGAATTAGATGTGTTCACTTTTTAATTTAGAAGTGACATTTTCTCTGTTCGTACATACCAGTAATACATTGATATGCTTAAATAAGAAAACGATATTTGCTTTAGCAAATTTCACTTCGATATCACAATCGACAGTATCCAAAGCTTTTTCTTGATCCGCTGGTAAATTATTTAATGTGAAATCAACACGTAACAGTTCACCATCGTCACCTTGTTGTGATATGATCTAAAAAAAAGAAAAAAAATAAATACATCGAGCTGATGGTTAAATCACGCACTTTCTTGTATTTGGCACTAGGATTCGGATCATAAACATTCAAATTACTTAATATAAGATTAACAGCAGTTTTACTGGGCTGTTGGGATACATTTGCCTTTATACCTAGAGAAACAAAAGTAAGATATACCAATTAAAAATTAAATCCTAACATACCTCCAACACTGATATCAAATACGGCTGCGTCTTTTGTGGAAATGAGAAAACGAAATTCTTCCAACTCAGCCTTTATTGCTAGACTAGCTGCGGCCACGACAGTTTCTACAACAAAAATGAAAGCACGGATGTTTACTGTAGTGCAGATTAACCAATCTATATCAGAAATTATCTGTTAATAACCTACCTGGTTTTTTCTTTCCTTTATCTAATGCGGTCGTTATCTGTTTGCCATTTTCTTGTAGTTCTTTTTGCTTCTTTTCTTCATTTTTTTTTGCGTCTTCTAGTTCCTTTTTCTTCTGTTTTTCTGCCTCGCTTTCTGTCGGTAATTTTTTCATTAAACTATCTTGAAATCTAAGAATACTCAGTAATGCTTGTAGTTGTAAATTAACTTCTAATTTTGAAAAATGTAATGTGCCAATACTCTCAATCGAATTGTATGGTTCATTTTCAAACATTGGATTATCAAGTGATGTCTAAAAGCATGCAAAAATTGAGACAGAGAAGGATGACTTCTACAAATAAAAAATCTAGTCATTTTTCTTTTTGCTAACATACGTCAATGTAAACATACTTTTAGAAAATCGATACTGATCAATTTTGTATCATCATCTTCATTTTGTCGTTTGGCTGAGATGAGACGCAGTGGTTCACCAGAATGTGTAACAAATTGTTGATGTAAAACGATTAAATCAGCTAGAGATGCATTAAAGTTGATATCATAAGTTTTAACCGATGTTGTAACCACCATTGCAACCAGAGATAAACGGAGAAAGGGACGGTCCTCATTATCTTCTTGATGTTGATCACCATCTACTCTTGAAGATGATGGAGACTCTTCAATCAAAAGATCAAGCTAAAGAACAAAAATTAAAAAAATAAGAGACATACACGATCAACTTTGAATACCTGTGATAACTCAAATGTTGCTTCTAATTGGGTCAATTGAAAATGAGAATCTTTTTTTTCTCCTTCCTTTTGTATATCTTCTCGTTTTTTATCATCGCTCTTTGTTTCCTCGTTCGTCTCATTTTCCTACAAATAGAAATAAAGATTTACAAATAACACTTCCTCGATGATTGACTGTGAACTCAATGTCAAATTACTTACTCCATGTTCTTCCTGTATTTTTTTTACTGGTGTCATTCCTTCAATTTTTTCCATGGTATCAACTGCCGATAAATTTGTTTGTACCGGTTGCTAGAATGAAATAAAACCAACAATAATATGAAAAAGAGTGAGACTTTAGTTTTTAGTGAACCCACTTCAATGGGTGTAATTTCTTGAGTTGTTTCATCGATGGGTTTTGTTTCGGGGAATGGTACTGATTGCACATGGTGAATGATTTGAAATAGTCTTGCATCTGATAAACGCATATCAATAGCAGGTATTTGTCCGGCAATTTTAAATCTATACAAAACAGACAGTATACATTTAAAATATTCGAAACTAGCAAAATGCAACAAACTTACGCTGGTAAGTCGGCATCATCCGAATAAATACACTTATATACATCCATATTTAAAGTCATCGGTTGAATTAAATGTAAACGAGTCTCTTGTGTACTTCGAGCTTCGTACCATTTTTCATCTAAGAATAAAAAATATGTAGTAGAGACATAAAAATACAATACTATCGTCAAATAACGTACTTCTTTGAGCATAAAGAAGTTGAATGGACTCTAATTGCAGTTGAAATTTCGTGTAAGAACGTTCTCTTGCTTCTTCAATACTCTATAAAAAAGAAATAAGAACATATCAGCACAAATTGGATTAAACGATTTTCACAGACATACTTTCGCTTCCTCCTGCGATGCGCCTTGATTTTCATCAGCTCGTTTCAATGTAAAATGACCAAAATCCATACAAATGAGTGGACAACCCCTAAAAAAGCAGATCCATTTCTGAATATGGTAGAAATACAATAAACCATACCTACTCTTGATAAACTCCATTTTCTGGCAGAAGAAAATAGGATGACTGTAAATCAATATCAATATCAAGAACTTTAACTTTTTCTAGATTATGTTTCATTAATAAGTAAGAACGTTGTTTAACATCGGTGTACGTTGAATAAGCAGCTTGTTTAACTCTAATATCAAAAAAGAAAGATACAACAATAATGAGATTTATTTAAGCAAAACAGATTAATATACCCTTGTAAATTTCGTTTACTATCAGGTTCAAAACATGTAACAAGTTTATTGATTGTTGGCTAAAACAAAAGTGAAAATGCCGCTTTATACGATCTATCTATTAGAAAACTTGTGTTTGTTGGTTATGAGCTACATACCGCATCGTACGTGATTTGTAAGGATTCTGATAGTACTTGTATTCTATAATCTGACTTAGATTCAAGTGGATTTGTTTCAAATTCAACATTTAAAAGATCCCTTTCTTGTTCAGATATTTGAGGTTTAGCTAATATTGGACGATTTTCATTTAGATTCTCCCTATTTGTCGTGCCTGTCGTTGATAAACCGAATACCTCAAATGAACGTAAACCCACTACAACTCTAAATTATATAAACATCCTTAGAATATAACATCACAGAAAAAAACATATGTCTACTTACTTAATTCCAGAGGATCCTGGACGACGTTTAAAATTGACATTTGTGCCTGGTACAACCGCCCGAGCAACAACATTAAAACTAAAATAAAAATCAACACACATAGGTATACATAGCAGAAATAGAGTATATCTTACTCAGCATCATCGTCTTTTAATAAAGACCAAACATTTACATCCAACTGTTTCAAACCGACAATAAGATTAATATCAACATACTAAATACAAAAAATAGCATTAAGATTATGAATCACTTATTTATTGATCTGTGTCGACAGTAGATTCTGATCGATTGAAGGGAGATAGAAGTTTTTTCATTCTCGAAATTCGTACGCTTTTTGCTAACATTTTCTATTTTCTATGGAACAGTCTGTATTCACTTGTGTGTAACAATCAGCATACTAATGCAATAATTAAACAATTAATTATTAGTTCTTTCTGTTGAGTTATCTAGCAGAAAGTCTAACCAAGATTTATTTCTAGCACAAGAACCTTGGATTCTGTCAACATCTATGTTTGTTTATTACTTTTTGCTTTATTTTTTTCTTCTCAAGAAAATCGTTTTGTAGGCTTAATATGTTATAGATCAAGTTTAAGCTTTTTTAGTTCTTATCTTGTCTACGGCTTCTAAAAATGTGTTTCCAGTTAATAGAGAGATAAGTTGAAACAAAGGTATATTACGAAAACTCTGTCATTAAAAGATTAAACTGTTTTCACTGGTAGTATTTTTGATACAAACTCTTTAGTAACGGCAAAATTTGCTGATTAACAAAAGTTTCGACGATTTTGTCGACAAAGAAACAAATTAACCAATTTGTTTCAATTAAAGAACTGTTTCCTTCGCTTCTAATCTTAATCGAAATTACTGTTTAGTGGTATCATTCATGAAAAAATTATTCTAAAGTAGATATATACAACATAATTAGAAGACGTTAGAGCCAATAATCGGAATAAATAATATTTTTTATCGATATTGATACAGTAGTGTAGTTGTACGTTTAAAAATTTTCATTGTACATTCTCTTGAAAATGGCTCTAAGAAGTGACCAAAACGTAGAACGTATTATTTAAAAAAATAAATACTTAATTTTATTCGTTAATTATGGCTGCTTCGTTAAAATATTAAATATGCAAGAAAAAAATTTGAGCTTTCAGACTAGTCAAACTTTTTTACTTTACAATTGAATCTAAACAAAAACAAACTTGCCACAGTTTAGCACATTGCTCTCTCAAATAACAATCGTGAACCAGGAGGTTTGTAACAAATTATTTCAAGTCAAAAGTTAATGAATGTAACGTATTTTACTACACGATTCTTTGATCATAATTATTCTATTAAAAAATGTGAAAAACAAATAGGATAAACGGCTACGTTGCTTCGTCGCATAAAGAAAAAACAAACCAAAAAACATTAAGATAAAAATCTCCATCTGAGAACGATTATTCTATTACTGAAATAAGTGCCTTGCTCACTATCTCTGCACACAAAATATTATTATTATTACCTCCTTCGGATAACCAGCTGATGATGTATCGTCACCTTCGTATCCAATAGCGCCAAACAACTTCTTCTTTTCATCAGGTGACATTACGTTTTCCAAATCAAGTTCTAGAAATAAAATAGTTCTAATTGAATTTAGTCATATTAACTAGTCGTTCTATTGTTTCTCTCACCTGGGTCTTTATTTGTGCTTCCTGACCACCAACTCGACACCCCACCCCACCATGATTTCGGTTCTTGTTCTTTTTTCTTTTGGGCCTTGACGTAAAAAGCGATAAAAAAATTTGTTAAAAATTTGTTCAACAGTATGTTCTTACTTCAATCTCAGCACTTCGTCGTAAATAGGTCAAATTGAATACATCAAGTTTTTTTTCAATTTCCTAATGAAAAAAACAATCGGTAGATGAGACAAAATCAGTCTATTGTTATTAACATGTGTTTACTTGAGCTCGTTGTTTTTGTTCATTGGATATTTTCCCAGTTAATTCTTGAAAACGAATTTTTCGGTATTCTCGACATCGATCTAAATGTGCTTTAATATTTTCCCATTTGTAACAATCAAAATGTGGGCGAACATCTTCATTAACGATAGCATTATACGCAAACACCCACCTAAAAAAAGCAACAAAATAATTATTCATTATGTTAATCTGATAACTCAGTATAACTGAAGACCTTTCTACAGTGACACATAACCTTTCTATACAGCTGTATACCTTCCCATGTTTCATGAGTTCAACAAAATACTTACCATTCTTTTGTATTTTTATCTTTAATCGTGTTCTTTGGTCGATACTTTATAAATTTTGTCTTTAACATAATATAATCTTGAAACTCAAGTAAATCGAGCATATCAGAATACTAAAATAAGAAATCAAAGTCTCGATCTTTTTGACTATGTTTCATGGTTGAGCAAATCGAACAATCGTTTTTTTTGTTAATTTTTCTTGTAAAATTTTTTGAAAGTTATTCACAATTTTGATTTCGAAAAAATACATTAAATATCCTAATTTTCTTCTATGCGTTGTTTTATTTCCGCCATACTTGTTTTTTATTGATATTGAAACTAATTTGATCAAGATCAATGGTAATGTCGAACATTGGTCGTGAAAAATTGTCTTCTCTCGGTTTCATAATCATTATAAGTTTTGCAATAACATTTAATGGGCGAAGAACTAGAAAGAGAAATATAAAAATATTCTTCTTTAAGACAATCAGAAACTTTGATCTCTTCTTTACTGTAATCAACGACGCCCGGATCTGGCACATAGTCTTTCGTAGCTATTTTAGAGCGTAAATCTTCCTAAAAATATCAAAAATTAATTATTATGATTAAATATCAGAAACAAAGAAATATAAGTTAACAGAATAGTTACGAGTTAGCACAGTCACTAAACATACCACAATATCGTTTCTAGACATATCTGAACGTGATTTAGCATCTGAATTCCAATAAAACGATAGAGCACTCAATTCACCAAGCTTAAAAGGGAGAAAAAACAGTTGTTATTTACAACCATTTGAATTCATTCAAACATGCGAACTTTGAAAATGACTGGTGTGTCATCTTTCAGAACTGTCGGGTTCCATTCGGTATCAGTTGTCTAAAAAGTTAAAAAAATTATACAAATAGTATCGAAATTTCGTGATCAAGATTGATTTTATTATTATTTCTCTATTTACTTTCAATTCTATGTAATTTAATGTTAGTCCAAATGAAAATGGATGCCCGGGCTTTGTTGATTTATCCTCATAGGCAATATGAATATTTCGAATAGATAATTCTAGATTTCGTATTATTGTCAATTGCATACGTTCAACAAATGTATCATGATCTTTTTGAGTTTCTTTTGATTGTTCTAATCGATAGAGAAGATAAAAAAACATTAAAAATGGAAAATATTAGTCAAATCAACTTTACCATAAGCTTCTTTTTCTTTTCTCAAATCTTCAACTTTTCGAACTTCTTTCATTTTTGCTTCATGTTGTTCGTTTTCATCTCGTTTTGCATCATATTCGACTTCTATAATAAATATGAGATATATATTAAGTATTATTCTTGTGAAAGTTAAAAAACTGTTCTTACCAGTTTTTGGTACAACTAAGATATAAAGACCATCGATATAAGCTTTTGTTGGATGTTTATAGAGATTTTTCCATGGGATAACAAGAGTTAATTTTTCTAAAAAACACAAAAAATCGATACAAAACTATTGATGATCAGTTAGGCGTAGTAACTTACGAAGATAACCAGTTAACACTGTCACTGGCAAATTTAAATCAGCCTAAATAAAATTGGATATAAGAACTTATTTTCTCTGATATTGTATATACTAACCAATGCATTTGGTTTTAAATAAAGATTTTCTAGAACCACATTTCCTAAAATAGAGAAAGCTATATTTTTCTTCTGTAGTCAGTGATTTGACTTACCATTCCATAAATCAATTTTTAATTTTTTATAATCTAAATTTTCGATATAATCACCCAAATATTTATCCAAAATATAAACGACAACATTTTCTAACACCATGTTGTCTCAGTTATATTCTGCAACCCACAATTTGATTTTAAATATCTAAAAATATTAGATTAGAAAACATCGGCTAAGCATAATTTTTATCATAAAAATATTAATTCAGTTAATATAGAGAAAACATTTTACAAAGCACTTTAGTTTCTGAGCTAACAGAAATATGTTATAGACTGTGAAGATTATACTAAAGTTCCTTATCGACAAAGTTTTTCAGAGAATTTATTTGAGTACGATCGTCGGTGTTCTATCAACATCAAAGAAAAGCGATGTTCATCAATCATGTGATCACTTTTTTCGATTTGTTTACTCGTTCCCCCTCTCAAATGACCAAGTATGATCAACTACTCTCCCCTAGTCATATCAAAAAAAAATTTTCTCAATTTTCTCTAGTATGGAACTTTTACTAGTTTATGTAATAAGCTGAAAAAAAAACTAATTAATGATAAATTTGAGTTCTAATGCTACTTTCTGACTACTAAAAACGAGGCTAAAATATATTTTAAAACATCTCTAAAGTCCTGAAGGTGTCTAGAATGTACAGGTTTAACTGTAATATCTATCGTTACGAAAAAATAACGAAAGTCACACGTATCTCAAGTTGAAATACTGCCAGGTATGGCTAAAATCAGACTAACACTTTACATAGTATTAAAAGTTGGTTGATTGTGCAAAAGAATAGTGTTCTACACTCAATTGAACGTTGAAAAATATTTTCGATAGTTCGATCATTCCACACATCCATCGAGTACTTTCTTGATGAAAAAATATTTCATCCGCCTTGGAACGCTCCGAAAGAAATAAAATTCCTCCAAAATGTGAGATTTTAATTTTTTAATAGATTAAACGAATCTACATGTTAAACAATACGATATCAATGAATTATGTAATCACGATATCATGATAAATATATAACTGATCGAATTTTGAGCAACCGATTGCTTTTCATGTTACGACATCTAAAATTTAACTCTTCAGTTCCCAATTTTTCTTGTATTTAATTGAGCTACGACTTTGCATAAATTTGTTTTACTATTTGTGTCACATGGAAGATTAGCATATAAATACATAGTTGTTTCTGGACTTCACACTAAATTTCCTAAGAAGACTATTTTTTTATATGAAATCCGTGAAAAATATTCGGAATTAACACACGCAAGTGCGTCGAATGATATATAACTCAAAAAGTTTCGCAATTAAAAGGTTCGATTCACATGTGAAAATGGCCCACGGTGCCTGCGCAGTGAGCAATAATGCGAACATTAGACGAAAAAATGATAGTGAACTTTTTTAGATTTAATCCTTTAAGCCCGACTGTTCCTGCAGAAGGACATTACTATATACGCTAATAATTTCTATAAAAAGGAAACGAAGCGGGAAATGAAAAGATGGATTTTTTTCTAGTATAAACTGACAGCATAAGCTAGCGGTTGGTAATAAGAAAATTTGTTTTTATCAAGATTTAACACTTTCTAGTTCGTTTTATACGACCAGCAGCCGGTGGCAAAGAATTAAACAGAGATTCATATGCTTTTAATGGTACTGGTAAAGGTACCGCTGATACTTAGTCTAGAGCATTTCTAATGGTCACCTCTCTGGCTCAGATTTTTAAGCAGCAGCTAATCCGCTCTGCCGAGGCCACATTTCGAGTGTTATAATTCTTTTGATGGTACTAGGACTCCATCCTGTGCAAGATGGTTTACGGAAATAGCGCAAGACGGCAAAGGCGCCACAAAATTCGTCCATGTCTTGCACGGTGCACTTATTAAGTCGTCCGAGATTCATATTCAAAACGACTATCAAAAGAAAAAATGTCACTACTTGTACTAATGAAGATGACCATTTATTTGAAAATATTCTACAATCCAAATGAAGATTATCTTTCTTCATTTCTTTATATTCTTTTCTACCTTTTATTGATGAATTCTTCTACTAAACTATTGATTTATATTCATGTGCTCGATACAAAATCCATTTTTAGTCTTCATTGATTTATTCGTTAAACTAATTCTTCTCCGAAAGAACAATCTGCGCACAAACGTTTTCTTTAATTATATTCATTAGACTACATTTTTATCACAAACAAATTAGTTCGAAAAATAAATAAATGAAAATTCTGTAAATATAGCATTTCTATGAACTCAAAATCAGCATCTGCAGAACCTGAAGAAAACGCTTCGAAAATTTTCAGTGAATCTTTGAAAGAGTATATCACGCCGAGAAAAAGTGATTTCCAAAACTTTCCAAATGCTTTAATAAGAACTTATAGCACATGTTCACGTCAAAAGACAAAATTGTAGCCCCTCTTCGTAGCGTGATAACTACTGATGTCTTCCTTTCTTAAAGGCGCCGCTGTGATCATGTGGACGTCGTCAAAGGATAGCTAAAAAATGAAAGGTCGTTCGGGACAAATTGATTTGTACCGGTACATCTTGCGCGGGTGACTCATTCCAATTAAGTCTATTGATAACCACATTTGTCAAAAATACGAATGTGATTATCAATAGACTTAATTGGGATGAGTCACCTGCGCAAGATGTACCGATACAAGCTTCGTTGAACTGTCACCCATTCGAAAATATCCATATTAGTTCCAAAAAATTTATGCCTCCAACCGTTAATTCTGTGCATTAGAATATTATTAAAAGATTTAAAAAGAATCAGTTTTATATGAGACAGATGTATTGTTAAGACAGGCCAATAGAAAATGCAAGAAGATCGTCACAATCAAAATCATTCGTTGATTGTGGAGCTTTGCTAGTAAATTACAGTGAAGATGAACTTTAATTAAATTTTTTCCGTTGAGCGCCAGTGTCAACGTAAATCACATTAGGCGCTCAGTGAGAGAAATTTTAATGAAAGCTTATCTTGAACAAAATATAAAATTTTGTCATGGCACATGTTGAAGAAAAGTAATAAAAGTAAAGATTAAAAACACTAAAATGGTTGTTGTGCCTCCGACCATTTTCAGACATGTTGTTTTGGGAATCGAAAGGTTAACATGACTGGTTAAAATGGTTTTTAAAGTTTCTTGCAACTATAATTATTTAACTATATGAATTTCACACGAAAATAGAGTAAATGTTCTATAGTTTTCAATAGCACGGTGAATGTCACTAATAGACGATATAGCGAGCACCACCGTCAACTCATTCATTTATCTTCATTAGTTTGCCTCTCTCAAACTTATTCTTTTGCTTGAATAACTATAGCTTATAAGCTATTCATAAACCACTTAGTCATGCTGTGGAACTAGTTTACAGAGAATATGGCTAAAATAAGCACTGGCATGATCGACTCATGAAGAAAATTTTGCATAGGAAAATATTGTTAAATGTTTATTTCCTGATCAAGAAAAATTAAGAACTACCCTAGTGAATGTACTTGAGATCAAATGCTTAGCTACTTGTAAATTTTCTAAAATACTTGATTAAGCACATGTCAAGCATGTTTAGATTTAATATCTGTCAAGTACTTGGAAGAACTTCGGACACTTGCATATATTTCGCAAGTACTTATCAGGTTACCTGCCAAATACTTGATAAAGTACTTATCTAGTACTTATACTTGTTAAATTACTTGATAAGTATCTTTTCCACTTGCAGAAAACTCCAGATACTCTGGACATTACTTGCCCAAGTAATAGAGAAGAACTACATTCTTTCTCTCTGTTTTTACTTTAGAAAATACCATTAACACCAGAAGTTTTACGTTCATGCTTAAAGAAAACTCCAACAAACTTACCAGTTTCTTAAAATTGTTTAAGAGTTCCCGTCGAAAGTGGTAAGTGTCTTGTAAGAATTCGATCAGATTTTCATAAGAGGTTCGTAAGAAAAACATAAGAAATCCCCAAGCCAAATGCTGACCAGAAAAACCCTGATTTCCAGTTTTATGGAATATTACTATCGTTCATCGGAAGTGTGTGAGTGATGAAGAAAACGAAAAAAATGAAAACTTGTACTTAGCAAGGATCGAACTCGTAATCTTCTCGTTCAACGATCCGAATATCTTATTAATCATTAAGCCATAAGTGCTTACTGTTCGTATATTATTATATCAACTTATTTTAGCTAGGAATGAAAATTAAAATATTGCCTGATTAACTAATTCATACATACCAGTAAAATAACAATTTTTATACTTTAAAAAAAGATTTCTACGAATACGATTCCCACAATCGCAAGTCATCAAAATAAAGGACCATTATGATCATTTATTTTTAAAAGAATTGCGAAACAACTTAATCATAACAGAACTCGGCAAAACCGACTCATAAGCTCCGTTCTAGTAGATAAAAATAACATAAGAATTTTTGGTACTTCCTATGAATTTCTTATGAACCTTTTTTGAAAATCTTATCGGATTCGTATAAAACACTTATATTATGACCATCGATAGGAAATCTTAAATAATCTTATATTATATAAGAAGCTGGTAAGATTCTTATAAGAATCCTATCAGTTTTACCAAAAAGCTATTGTATAGTGATTAGGAATGTTCGGTTCTCAGTTCTCGTGAAGAACCGAAGCCGCACTTCTCTTATTTCCGGTTCTTCGTCGAGAATCGGAACCGCGCTACCGGTTCCGGCAATGGAATCGGAACCGTAATTTCTTAAACGCAGCGACGTAGCCAGCCTTGGATCCACCCCTTGGAGTTTTATTTCCTGTAGGGTTTGAATTTTTTTTGTTTTTAGTTAAAACAGAAAGTAAAGCAACATGAAAAAAAAACATATTTGTTATTCGTTCTGTATTTTTTGATGTGTAATGATAGTCATAACTGATCGACTTCCACTTATCTATGTGTTAAGCAAAAAAGTGTTCTGTTTCATCATACTGTACCAGCTTTTTAATATGCGAATTAAGCATTATTTCTCTTATTCTTAACTCATACAGAAAACTGGAATGTGCTAAGGAAAAGGACAGATTTACTGGGTAGGGACAGCAGTGCTTCAGAACGGGAAAAACGTGGGAAAAGACTATTGATCTACCGGTCAAGAAAAA